TCTCCTTGAGGCTTATTTCCTGCCTCAGATTTCCAGTGAGGAACAAAATGACTAAAATGTCTAGAAGCTGAATTTCAGGGAGACTGGCATCCAACAGATCTTTTATTTAAAGCACTGTGGTCCTGACTTCTGTTAGAGGACTCCCTATCCATAGGCTGATATCATTTCAGAGGGAGAACTTGCAGGCTTCTTATTGAGGACTCCCTACTGTCTGTGATTCATGCATTTGAACAGCCAACAAAGCATCCTTTGAGGGGCACTGAACCAACATCAGACACTGTGAGGCAAATCTCAGAAACCAGGTGCTTCTGCTGAGTCTTAGCTCAAGCAATTGTGCAGTCTCCTAAGCTAAGGCAACTAAAATAAGCAGTCATTTTTGTGAAATATTTGAAAAAAAAAAATCCTCTGAGTCAAACACTGAGCCTTCCTGTCACCTGTCACCTGCCTCCAAGCCTGGAGACTTGGGCCTTTCAGTTCCAGGATACAAAAAGCCACGCAGTGACTTCTATACGCAGTCAGAGCGTGTTTTATGTCTGAACAGCACATCAAAAATTTGGCAACTTCAGCTCAAACTATTTGTTTGAACAGATCTTCTGGCTGGAAAATGCCTTTACTATATAGGTACTCAACCTAAATATTTGCCTCAAACATTAAGAAACATCAATTTCTTCCTTTAAGTGATAGAGATACATTAACCTCAAACATCTAAGCTAGATTCAACCATAGTATGGAGTTCCAAGTGCAAAATCATGGTAAAAATTAGAAAACCTGGACCACCTCAAACCTGCTCTGAAATGTCCTGTAGGCAACAAATATTACTGTCTTGTTTGGGATCAAATATCTTGAGCAATTCAGAGCTGACATTTTTGCCCATTCCATTTCAGAGTTCATTACAACCCATGGGAGCTTGAGTTGACCTTTTTTGAGAGAAATTAAAAAAAAAAAAAAAAAAACCACATAAAAAAATAAATACAATGAAGCATCGACGTACATATATATATATATATATATACACACCTTTTTTTTCCTCCTGTGTCTGTGATTTGTACCTGGAATTTTTGCCATGTCATTGACTTTGAACTTGATGTTTTCACAATTTATCTGTCTCAGTCTACAAACTGCTTCTGTTCTAATTTAATCAGGTTCAGCCTATTAACAGTATGATGTAAAGGCCAGTTATTTTGTTTATCTCATTAAAATCCAGAAATCTGCTACGCTGCCGTGGCATTAAACTCCAGTCCATCTAGGGGCATTTCATTAGGACTGCATTAGTTCATCATTACTGAAGTTTATTTTTCATTCAGACATGTTAGCATCCAAAAGATACCACACGAAGGAACATGACATTCAAAGGTTAGCCTCTGTAACTTCTTTTTCAAGGAAGTTTTTGGGAACATAAGAAAGAAAATGAAAATGGATTCCAGAAGATTCCAGAAGTGGTTATTTACACAGTGTAAGATGTAAACGTTGTAAATGTAAATGTCTCTTGTCATTTCCCTGTTGCTTGCTGGAAAACATGTTTTTGCATCTCTCTCTGCTCCCCTGCTTTCTTAAAATGGACAAGCCTGAAGTTAAGCTCCAGATCAAGTACCTGAGAAATTTTGGAGAAATCTGATCCCAAAAACCATCAATTCCATGCTCTCTAGTTCAAGCAATTCAAAACCCCAACACTGAGCATCCTGCTGAGTATTTTGTAAAACCTCAGACTTGGCTCTGGCAAAGAACCAATTTTCTTTCTCCTTCTCTCCCAAAAAAGAAAACATAACACATGGATGTGTGAGATCACAGAAATGAAACAAATGAAAATGTACTACAAGAAAAAAAAAAACAAGAACAAAAAACACATTAGCAAGGACTGGGCTTCACTAGAAATAGATCTGTAAAAGTTGTTGCTGACTACCTGACATCCTTGCTATACGTGTTTTTGAGGGTTACCTCAAACAAGAGCTTATCAGGTCCTATTATGGGCTTAATGCACTTGAAGAACATCTGATGTGGTCCAAGGACACAGCATTCTCTTCAGCTTTATCCAAAAGAGATCCGGTGAAAGCACACCAAGACTTCTCCACGATGGGAATCAAAGCATGTCTGGGACAAGAAGAGGACAAGCAGATTGACTGCAAAAGTAAATTCCTGATCCAAACTAGAACACTAATCTGAGCACACTAGAAGTACTGTACCTAACAGCTGAACATACCGAGGAATAAAATGTATTTCACACCACACCCAGAAATATACCTCTGAAAGTGGTATCAGAATGAATCTTCCACTGTGAGATGAAGCTATGTGAAAGACAAACTAGATGGGCAGGGAATATTTTAAATTAGACATAATGGAATAAGGCAATTTGAAGCAGTTTTACTCCCTCTAAGAATAAAATTTGCTTTCAAATTTTAGTTGAATAAGAACAGCTATGAGGCATATATCACAAAGCTGTGCACTAAGAGTGTGTTATCCCACACGTGCCATTTAAAAATCAGCACTCCCTCTCTCCAGGTGTCCTGGATTTTCCTCCATTATTATTCAAACTACACCAAAAAAATGAGGTTTTTTACATACTGAAGATCTTAACCACTCCCAGCTTGTCCAGACTTTGTCATACAGAGTTAACCAGACATATTTTGTTATGCCTAGAGATAAATAAGATTCTTCTGTTATTCAGACAGAAATGAAAACTTCAATACAATCTATTTTTAGCACTCTACAATAGGCTGGAAAATATTAGCCATTGTATATATATTGTATATAGAATCATAGAATTATTAAAGCTGGAAAAGACCTCTAAAATCACCTAGTCCAAACATCCACCTACCACCAATGTTACCTTCTAAACCACATCCCTTAGTACCACATCCTCACACTTCTTGAACATCTCCAGAGAGGGTGACTCAGCCACCTTCTTGGACAGCCCATTCCAGTGCCTGACCACTCTTCTGGAGAAGTTTTTCCCAGTATTCAAACAGAACCTCCCCTAGCACAACTTGAAACCATTGCCTCTTGTGCTATCTTGTCCTGTCACCAGCTTCACTGCCCTTCTCTGGATACACTTCAGGGCCTCCGTGTCTTTCTTGTAGTGAGGGACCCAAAACCGAAAACAGTTCTCAAGGTGCAGCCTCACCAGAGCTGAATACAGAGGGTTGATCACTGCCCTGCTCCTGCTAGCAATGCTATTTCTGATACAAGCCAAGATGCCATTGGTCTTCTCAGCTACCTGGGCACACTGCTGGCTTATGTTCAGATAAGTATCAACCAACACCCTATTCTTTTCCTCTGCACAGTCCTCCAGCCACTCTGTCCCAGGGTTGTGACCAAAGTCCCATTGGCCTCAGCCCAGTGATCCACCCTATCCAGGTCACATATTTGTTTGGAAATATTTATGCACTTCAGAAGAGCGCAACTAGATTTCTATCGCTGCAAATCAGAGCAGTGCATCAGTCTCAGATGAAAGACTGGCACTATTTCTTGTAGGAAAATGACACAGGAAATGACACAATGAGGGTGGGTCGCTTTCACACATCAGAATTAAACAAGATATTATTAAAGATAACATTTAAATTAATAACAAGAATACTAATCTGAGAGAGGATGCAGTGCCAAATGAGCCATTCTTTACCCATTTGAGTGGCTCAGTTCTGAATGATCAAGGATAATATTTTCAAATCTGCATTGATTTTTAGTCAGGACGTGCTTTGCATTTCAACATTGTTGGAACATACCCCAGTTTCAAAGGGTCTACGTATGTACAGCTCTTGACTGAGCTAGATACCAGTTTATGCTGACATGTAGAATCCCACGTGTATTTTCAGAGATATCATAACAGCTACGAGAGAAAAATACTCCAAACCAAGTTATTTTGTTTCTATCGCAGTAAGAAGCACAGGTACTTCAGTGATTTCGGACTCGACACGGCTGCAGGCATAGCCGCAGGAGGCACCAGCAGTTAACGATTAAGCTCGCCGGCGCCCCGCAGCGCCCAAGGACACGGGCAGCGCCCAGCTGGGCACAGCGGCCGCGCAGCATGGAGCGCCGCCAGGGGGAGCAGGCAGTGCGCTGCGGAACGAGGGACCTCCCTCTGTCGACCCTTCTCCCCCGACCGTGCCTGCGCGGTCGGTGCTGCGGCCACGCGTCGGACTGAAGAATGCTTTTTAGAGGAAGGTCTCTTTAAAGGACGCTGTCCTGCGCCGGAGTTCAGAGATTTACGCTGCCGATTTCCCAGCCCTTGAAACTTTCACTGCAGGCGGCAGAGGTCACTCGATAGTGGCCCGTGCCCAGCCTGCCCGCCTCCTTAGCTCCTTGTGCTTGCTGAAGCGCTTTCCCCGACTTTTCAATCTGACATACAACACCAATATTTGAAACCGCATGTTCTTTTGGGCAAATGCTTCGCAGATTGATGCAGACATTCTGTTTTGCAGGTACATGGTGAACCTCCCCAGTCCGAGCCGTGGCCTCAGGAGCCAGGTGTGGCATCCTGGCAAACGTGGAGGCACATTTCCTTCCATTCTTCACATACCACAGGAGCTGTAAATCAACGTGTCATGGAGGGTGACATAGAAAAATTGAAGAGTTGCTGCGAAATTATTGCCTTTAAAGCAACTTTGCATGAAGCAAAACATATCAATTCCACATCCAATATAGCATACTCATCATACTTGCAAGAAAATTTAACATTCCTGATCACAGACATTCAATTTTAGAATGCATTCACTCTGATTTTTCCAGAAGACTGTCAAGATATATAGTTCATGATATGAAAGTTTATCACTTGCATTCAAAGCAACTTTTATCACCTGCCTAACATCCAGCAACTACAGTAAGTCATCACGCTTTACCTCACCCACTAATTTAGTTAGGCTTTGTCCAGAACAAAGGGCTCCAATAAATGCCAAGGGAAGAGCTGCACCTGCTTACAAATCACACAGACCCAAGCTTCTTATGCAGTAAGTTAAATATTTACTAGAATATAACCAGCAAGCAAATCATTAGGTCTCTTGGGTAATAAACTGATTTTTAGAGGAAGTATCTTTAGCAAGTATTTCTCAGACCCTGCCATTACTAAAATATCTCTTTCCATCTGCTTTTCTTCACAAAGTGGTCAGACTTTGCCTGGATGCATGCATGAATAAAGCACCATAACGTAGCACCAAGCGGATTTATCTCAGACTGTACATCTTTTGGTCCTCTGCCATCTGCAAAGTGGTTGTGAGAAACGTGACACAAAATACAGGCTGATGCTTTTGTTTCTGAACACCAAGGACACAAAAGGTAAGGTCCCCACTTCTTAAAATCCTTTCAGGCTGTATACTGCTCTTAGGAAATGTGACAATCATAATCTGCCTTCCCACTGTATTTTGATTCTGCTCTTTATAATGCTTTTCTCTTTCCTATGAAAAAGAAAAAAAACTGGCTTACATGAGCAATTATGCTGTGAATCTGGATTTTGAGTTATACATTTGGATATGGGAGGGCAGGACAAAAACAAAACGGATTAATCCAGAACAGCTTTAATGTGTTTGTGCCAGTTCACAGTGGACAGAATTTACTTCAAAGTTAGAACTCAGCTAATCTTAAAATATTGGCGTGTCTGTAATTGCTCTTGGGAGATGAGCAAAGCAGGAAGAGAGGATGGAAAGACAGGTGGCAAACAAGAGACGGGAATGTTGAAACGTAGCTAAATTTAATCCGATTGTTCTAAATCTACTTCTGTTTGTCAAATCATTTGGAATAATTTCAGACAGAGAAGAATGTGTGTTCTCTCAGGGAAGAAAGATAACCTCAGTCATTTTTGCCTGTTTTATTGTAAATTATAGCCTCTGATGTCAATAGTTTTGGTAGAGAGATTTGTACATTCTATATAAATAACAGATGAATTATGAACCAGTTTCGAATTTGACAAATTCCTTACATTTTTTTTCTTCCTTACTAGTTTAACTTTATCTGTTATTGGTTTTTATTTCATTTAAATAATGCATATTGCATAATATATGGAGTTTTTCCTTGAATTGCTTAGGTACAAAGTTAATTAATATGTTCCTACATAGATTCCTACGGTTTATATCTACTCTAGGAATGCAGAATCTCAGTTCTATTATCAATGCACCATGCACAACATAAGAGATACTGAAATGACTCCACAAAGAGAGCCAAGCACAGAAAGCAAACAGATGCAGTGATGAAAAAGGAAAATCAAAGTCTACAAACACAATGTGTGAATTACCAGCACACTTTGTCAAACCCTGTATTAGTGGTAGATGTGCATATATCACAATTTTTGCTCTAGAACTGGACATCTGTGTTGTCTTACATCAGTGAAGATAAAATTGTGCATATGTTGTAGCAAAATATGCCAAGATGTTATAAAAGTGTTGAAATTATGAGTAAGAATTTTAAAATGCATTTATAGAAGTCATTGACATAAGTTAGTCTAAAATAAAATAACTTGTTCTTATTTTTAGAATTTTTAGTATTTTTAGAAATGATACAGAAAGGAGCAGATAAACAGAGGAAGATAAATCCCTAATCTGTTTACATCTCTTCAAAGGCAAGGAAGAATCCCATAATAAATAGAAAAACAAATATACAAAAAGAAGACTTCTAGTCTCACTATCTAAACAATCTGTTGATAGGAAGCTGCTGAAATCTGACTCCATATTCTATAAGAAGGGGACAAAGTTGTTATTTCCAGAAATTTTAGGTATAATTGAGACATCAGTTTTGTGTAAGAATTATTGAAAGTTTCAGAATTCAAGCCCAATACTACAGATGAGGCTAAATCTCCTGAGAGAAGGAGAAACGGCAGACTACTCCACATCTGCCTGCCGTGAGGCTCACAGAGCTTTGTCAGAAATACCAATGCTGGACTGTGTGTCATTGCCAAAGGGTTAACAGACATCTTAGTACCAGCTTGGTTCTCTTTCAGGATGGCATTTCATGTTTTTTCTAGATTTCACAGTAATCAGCAGTTGAAAAATTTAAAAGTATTGAGTGCTCACATTAGAGATATAAAGACTGTACACATTAACACGAAAATGAACATAATGCTTGGGTTCATGTTGAAACATTCAGCTAACGTATTTTCAAAGTCTGTGGAATCTAATTTGCCTACACGTTAGAGTTGTTATCACCTGCATGCAAAAACAAAACAAAACAAAACAAAACCAAAAACCAAGGATATTCCAAGGATATTGTTTTGTCAACAGGAAAATTAGCACAGCAGAAAGAGGCTCTGTAATCAGCAGAGGGAGTCGGCCACTTTGAGAGCAATTCATCAGTTTCAAAATGGTAAAAGTGCCCTCCAGAGGTTCCCATCTCCACTTTCTGCATGCAGCAGCAATCTAAAATCTAACTTTAATCCATTATAAACTACAGAAATTTTCTTATCGAATTGGTGGAATGACACTCTCCAACAAAATCCTAATCAACATTGGTACATAATTAGTTTAATCTCAGAATGTCCACCTCAACAAAGAACTGATCTGCTGACTACATCTGAGAAGTTTTAAGCAGATGCCATTGAACACATAGCAAAGATTTTTGCTGATCACACTTGTGTAAACATCATCCACTTAAAGAATGAAAATAAATCTAACTTCAGGCATATTCTGCTTTCAGAGAAGGCTGAAATCAAATTCTGGAAGATTCAGTCCAACAAACTGTCACTGATACCCATCCTTTCCTGAAGAAAGAATGCCTGAAGTTGTTCCAATGGCTTATCTAGTCCTGTTGGCTGAAAGTCATGACCAAGTCATCTCAGAAATCCAAGATCTACAAAAATATAAAGGCTTTCCAGTTTTTCAGCAGTGATCTAGTGCCATTCCCTTTCTAATTTGCACCAGAAAAATGTTTTTTAAAATCACATTTATCTCCCGTGGTTATGATTTTCATTGGCAAGCCCTGGCTCCCATAAAGCTTAGTCTTAGACTTGTCCTCTAAAGCTAATGGATTCTCACATAAACTGCAACATTTCATCACAAAGTCGATTCGCAGCGATTTTGTATCAGAAAAGGGAATGTTCAGAAGGAGCAGAAAGGGAAGATATTCCATATAACAATCTCCAACAGCACATTAAAATTTTTCATAACAATAAAAGACTTCGCTAATACACCTGAGGGATTTCATTTCATTTTGATGTTCTGAAAGAATCACAGATCACAGAATCACAGAATCACCTGGGTTGGAAGGGACCTCAAGGATCATGTAGTTCCAACCCCCCTGCCTAGCAGGGCCACCAAACGTACACATTCAGATCAGGTTGCCCAGGACCCCGTCCAACCTGGCCTTGAACACGTCCAAGGACGGGGCATCCACAACCTCCCTGGGCAGCCCGTTCCAGGGCCTAACTACTCTCCTTGTGAAGAAAGAGTTTAACTGCTACTCACTGTATCACTGTATGTATTTTGACACTGTTTTAACTGTGTCAAAACAGAGACATTTACAGCAACAGTCCTTGTGGGACTGTGTACACAGAATGTGGCTATACAGAGCAAAAGTCAGATAGCAAAGAGCAGAGCTGTGATTGCCTGGCACCATCCCTATCACCTTCAGAATTCAGGCTAGGACTTGTGTAATCAGTCACAAATGCTGCACAACTGATAACAAAGCTTATGTGTGCACAAAGCAGCAAGACCTTTCGTTAATATAAGTATTAGGAAGCAGGAAAGAAAAGGTGTAACAGGTCACGTCATGAAATCTGAAGGTAGAAGTGTTCAAGAGAGGAAGGCTGGGCACTAAAGGAAGTCTGGACTGACTCAAAGTGACAGTAATCACAGCCTGTTTGACTGTAGTCTATCAATGCACACAATGTCCAGCAGTGTTACATAGCAGCAGCAGTGCTGGTGATCACAGTTCAACACATATCCAAGTGTTTCCAGTATTTTCTGTTTAAAAAAAAAGTAACTTCATGGAGGCTTTTGAATCAAAGTAAACTCATCTGCACAATACATGCTCAGAACTACAGATTCAAGAAATCTTTCTCCATTTGTTCAAAGACACTGCAAGTTTTGGAATTCCAAGCAGAACTCACAATCTGGTGTGGAAATGTAGTTTCAGATTCTCCACCACTGTACATTTTCATACAGGTCTGTGAACAATGTCATTCCTAGCAAACACCATGAAGGTGTAGTTACAGCTTTTTTAAACCTATAGCAGTGAACCTTCATTTATCCTTTTGGAAAGGTTTCCTTTACTATAACCAACACAGTTCTTTTATTCTATTTAATACTGCTTGCGCACATTCTAAAATAACTTTCCATACTGAATGCTAAATAGATTACATAAATCAAATTTCTCAAAAGCTAGATGGCAAGCATTAAGTATGAAAGGGAAACCTCTAATCAGTAGCACTTATTATCCACTAGCTAGGAGGATTCAATCATCCCACTTCGTATGCTGACTTAGAGGCACAGCAACAGCTTCAGATTACCCAGCTCCAATAAGGGAATATTCCTAGCATAGGAAAGTGTTGCACTTAAATAGATGATAGTGTTTAGTCCAACATTTAAAAGGTGTAGAGCAGCACAAACAAGTTCAGAAGTATTAGATTATGGATTCATTGTGGTATACATTGAACTAAAGCTCAGTGATGCTACACTAATAGCCTAATTCTTTAAATTCATATCATTTTCTACTTTAGACAAACCAGGCATTGAAAAAAACCTTAGTAAAGACTTCTGGACAAATTAAATAATGAAGGAAGAGGTGAAATTTCTCCTGCTTTATTTTATAATATTGTACTTTAGCCTGTAATTAAATCCCTGAAATGAGCATACCATAGCTATTTTGAGGCAATTAACAAGTACAGGAAAGGTTGTAGAGGGATCATTGACAAAGCATTTGACAGGCCTTCCAGCTAATGTTCTTAATGAGAACAAATAGGTAAAACTGAACTTCTCAAAAATCCGTGCTGAGGGCCAGCTATCACATGGTGGATGGTCACTCACTAATCCTGCAAAGCAACTATTTCTAGCAATGGCATAGCTCATACGAATATGCAAATCAAGGTAAATGAATCTGTACTTCATGCTGGTTTCTTCACTTATTCTTTTCTGGCAGTTGTTACATAAAAGTTACAGAAACATGTGACTAACTTTGTGGTACATATTATACAAATTATATATATAAACTAAAATATAAACTATTTGTTCAGCTGGTATTTCCCTTTTCTACTCTGGTTTTTAAGAAAAAAGAGAGATCATATCAATTATCATAATATGTAACTATGAAATCTGGTCTATCTAAAGCTTGTTACACAAGATTGGAACATCTTT